AATGTGTACCGCCGATGATTCATGTTTCGCATGAGGAACAAAATTTAATCTGTACAGTACATACATTCCATTTGCTTCAAGCAAAGGCATTGTGTCATGATCTGGAATTCTTTTCCGATATTCCGGGGTTCAACTCCGTTATTCCGGACTCAACCCCTCCACATCCCGATCGTAGGAACAACGATCAGTATTAATATTGCGCATTAACCCTATGTGTCCTGTTACCACAGGCACCAAACCCCCTAATCCCCTATAAAATCCCTTGGTGTTTGTATATAAACCCTGTACTATTCTACTATTCTCTATACTATTCTGGTCTATACTCCAGCTGCTTGTTTGCTTGTCCCCTTCACTCTGCTTTTCCCTCGTCCAGTCGCCTCAGTTGCGTTTCGAGAACCCGACGAGCCGCTGTGCTGACACATTGCCAGCAAGGATTATTTAAAATCAAGTGGAATTTATGCTAGCTGACTGCATACGTCGGGTGGACAGACCGAAGGATGTGTCCTGTGGTCTAGACCAGTGGAGGAGACCAATGGGAAACTCAGATCAGAGTATATTCAACAGCCAAGGAGGGAGACCAAGCCATTCAGCTTTGAATTGTTTCGGGGGAATTATATCTGACGGCGGGAAGTGGGAACAAAGCGACTTCTACACAGATGTAATGATCCAGATTTTGAAGAGAGCCAGACAACATCCGAGAACAGTGTCAGGCCAGGCTATCAGACTGACAATGATGCCCAGTGTTGGATAATTTGGCCAGTGAATTGCACCAAAAAGAGGGCCGTCTCCAAATCCGGGCCTTCATTGAACATAGAGAGGGTGCTGTGTCGGAAGATCCTTGGCCACAGCTCGAACTGGATGGTAAATTGGGCTGCACCATAATTGCGAGGGAATGTGGTCCTCCCATGCCATCTGGGGCACATTGAGAAGGTTACCTTCCTTTCTGGAATGGCCAAACCCAGAAGATAAGCTGTTAATTCACAGGTCTCCGCACTTGATGTCAAGATTCCGAATCGGTATATTGAACACTGCGAGCTGCCCCATGTTGTAACAGTCTAGGGTTATTATTTCACTGGTACATATGGAAAACCTATGTTTCAAGTCCACAAAATCCCTGTCTCCTTGATCGAGTCACCTTGGCAAAGGATTATGAGGATTATGTGCTAAACCGGTAAACTGAACATATGCCGGTCCTGGTGAGAAGTAGAACTCTATTTGTGATTGAACAGAGGCTGGAGCCGGAAGTTTAGGTTCAGTCACGGCAATTAGTACCTGTTGTGTTTTATTGACAGACCGATTTTGCGAAGCCTAAGGGCTTCTGCAAGGGACCTTCTTGTGAGATCGTAGATCAAGTGGAGTGCGCAAGGAGTGTGCTCGACACTTATCCAAGAGATAGGTGTATGGAAGGCGAGCACATGCCAAGTGGCAGCGCTTGAGCCTGTAAACCAGTGTGTTGGGGACTTGTGACCTTATTTGGGGTCCTGTGTAGTGCTGTATCTTGACCATTCATGGACTTGACTTGGTCAGGACATGAGAGTTTGCGAGTAAGGTTAATTAAGGCATGTGCTCACGGAGCACACACCTATTAGTAATAGTAGAGATTATCTACAGCGTCGAGTGCAACTGCCAATATTATACTGCAGTATCACAGACTTCCCCAATTTTCCCTTGCCAATGGTGAACTTGAACAAAAATACAAACAAACCCCTGAATATGATTCATACTATCGTACAGGACCTAGAAGCGAGACAAAGATCATTTTCTCCATCATTTCTGGGTCAATTGCCGAGATCTTTTGTAATAAACACTCTGTAGGGTCCCTACTACACTCCTGGTACAATTCTGGTCACTCAATCAACAAAACTCCCATGATTAGCTTGAAAGAAACAGCCGGATTTGGTAATTTATGTGATTTCAGGCAGTTAAACACAACTGGAGACTTAATATATGTCGGCATAGTAACGGACTGTATCCATATCATACTTCGAGTATTCATACCAAAATCTGTGGGTAGAAATGGATTTTTCGCATCAAAACAGCCTAATCGAGACACGCAAACATGGCGGACAAGTATGAACTCTACCCAGAATCACTCAAAACCCTCTTACATATTGGGCCTTGCTATTCCACAGTGCAATTAGGTCCAAATGTAACATTCTATGGCCATGAGATTGCCAAAGGAGGAGGAAATAGGGTGTGCTATCGCTGATATCTCAAATAACACTCTGATTGAAGCATTGACTAAGTTTGAGCCATCCTGCACAATTTTTCCAAGCTTTTAAATCAAGATGTTGCATATATAAGTGCTTTAGATGGGGTAGAATGTGTCCTGAAAGTTGTGCATGGAATGGTTAAGAGTTGAACTCGGTATGTGGTCGGCACTCATCAGCCATCAGTCATCAAGAAGTGGGACACTCTAGAAAATAGCACTGTTCGACAACAAATAGACCGTTTGACACAAGGTAAAATACTGAAAACAATGAAAAGAAGTTACTTTCCCACCTGGAATACTCAGATGTTGACCACGACTCGTTCATGGGGGAGATATTCAGTAATCTTTCCAAAGTTTCCCACATCCCCATGAAGGATAGTAGCCACTCCGCTGCTTTGGCAATGGCTAAAGATATTTGTTTGGTATCCTGCCAACATCTCGACTGATTAGACTAGGCTGGAATGCTTGCTCGCTTGTCAATCCAACACTGAAGTATTTGTACTACACCAATCTATAGGGGCAAAACTGCCTTCGAACTGGAAACCAACAAGTGGAGAACATCAGATTGGTAGGGAGTCAAAATCACGAGTCTTTTGAAGCTTCAAGTAGCTTGTTTCAAGGTGCAATTAGGTGCAATTTGAACCTTACCAGTCACGAGACATTGAGTCAGCATATACACGTAATAAAAGTAAAATCCCGCAGCGAGAGTCGAACACACGCGGAAAAAAGCTCCTAAAAGGGACAATGTCACGTGCAAAGTGAAAATTTGGCGGAGGCTCCGAGGCTCTGCAACATTAGGGCGCTTCAGGACCCACTACCTAAAGTTAGTGGGCATGAATAACACCCCGAATCCGACCAGAACTGGTCTTTATATTGTCTTTAGATGAACCCGCTGCATATCCAGGAGCTCGTGGATCGGTGTAAGTATTGGCTTCCTCAACGCCTCAGATCCCGCTTTGCACGCATGCGCCCTTGTCAGCCGCTCCTGGGTCCATCCAGCACAGGCCCGGATGTATAGCGAGATCAAGCTGGCCTGTTATCGCTTTGAAGATCCACGGAGATTGTTCGCAGCCCTGCATCTTCGCGCCTCTCGCCTGTTGGACCTCCTGGACGCTTCCCCGCATCTGACCCGATAAAGATCCAAAATCCGCATCGAAAGTATGGCAACATACCTCGAACGCCAGCTGTTCACGCCATCCACATTCATAACTCGTTTCCTGCAATTTTGTACTCTGCCCTTTATGCGCCTGTCTTCGCTTCGAATTGAGCAGTTGCTCGCCGGGGCTCCCGACCCGCAGGTCTCTGCTGCCGTGAACGAGATGCTCAGTCTCTGCACTCTGCGGGCTTTACACCTGACATGCACATTCGCAGACAGGGCACACTTCTTGACGATGTGGGAGAACTGTTCCCCTAATATCAAGCATCTTTATTTGAATTGTCGAATCGAAAACGACCAAGCATCGTCGGCTATTGGGACGGGATTTTTAGCACGTCCCCGTATCAGATTGGACGCGTTTCAATCACTTGATATCCAAAGTATCATGTGGTGGCTGGAAGATCCCCGCTGCCCACTAGATTTCTCTGGCCTGAAGACCCTCTATGCATTCGGTCGCGACGTGGGCGTCCTCCAGCGCAGGATCTTGGCCTCTTCACTCCGAAAAATCGAAGTGCTCGGCTTATCTGTACGTTCTCCCCCCCCTCCACAATCATCCGCGTAAATTTTGGGACCATTACACTGTACAGTCCCCTAATCCGCACATGGCAGTCTTCGAACGCATCACCGACCTCCGGCTGCGACTTCTCCGGGAAGACCCGCTCTCAGTCTCCCGTGCACTCTCAACGATTCGTCCTGAGAACCGTGTTCGCCCCGCGCTCTCCATGTCTTCCTCGCCGGATGGCCCCCCACAGTAGACGCCCTCTATACGCATTGTGCAAACCCTCATGGCGCACTTTCTGCCCTTGACCTTGAGGACCAATTTCCCAACCTCGCGCTCCTGCATATCAGTGTCGCCGTGGAGACCCCAGCGTTGACCCAGGGGCCCGAGCATTACTTCCCCATCCTGGACCCCCGGATCTCAATACAGTGGGGTAAGCGTCTTCCCTATATGCCTTTTCAGTCTGTGCTAAGCGTTGGCTAGACTTTCTGCCAGGCGAGGGAGACCCATGGTATCGGAGCATCGCGTAATGCACATTTTAGACCTCCGTGTCATTTGTGAGCGTCAAGGGCATTGCATTGCCCCCCGCGTAAGGCGATGTTTTGCCCTGCTGCCCCCGGCAGAAGATTAGGATGGCGTTTGATTATGAACCTTCTTTAGCGTCCCTTCTCGAGTGAGTACACACCCACAGCAGACGGCTGTGAAATTTGTGAGCCTCAAGGGCATTGCCGCCCGCAACACGGTGCAGCCGATACATTTACGGCCCTACAAAATGGTGTGCGGATGCCTAGGTGTGGACAATATAGGCTAACGCACCCATTTGCGACTCGGACACGATGATGGACCCCTTGTGCTCGAAAGTATTTGTGCTCGAAAGTATCCCAGCTATTTACTTAATATCCATTTTACATCTAGCGGTCAGACATGGTGTACGGAACACTGCCTCCCGCATTGTCCATCGCGTCCATATCCGACTCTCGCGCTTGAATTTCTCGTATGGGCCGGCTCCCACCGACGCGCATCTCGTTCGAATTACTCGAACCGCCCAAGTCTGACATCGTCGAACACCACGCGGCGTGAGCGCGAATCTGCCTCGAGAATCAGCTATCCGAGATCTGATTTACCCTTCGTATTCAGACATGGTGTACGGAACACCGCCTCTGGTAATAGAACAAAGGAGTCGTTGGCGAGGCAGTCCGGGGTTCGACTCCCCGTGTCTGAGTACGGGCGAAGATTTGCCTTTTTCGTTCCGCGCAGTAGGGTCTAATTTCCTTGTTATGTATGATTCGAGCTCGATACGACGCATTATTTCAGCTCATGTACCAACCCGAATGCCGGGGTCCTAGCTCAGCCATCCCTGAGTGCATTTATGAAATTCCCAACCGTGGCTAACTGCGACCTGCCAAAGTTGTACTTCAATGCTAATCGTGGAAAGAAAGATGCATGAATCCGACTGGCCAAAGTACCCGGAAGCGACTCTTTTGAACGGGCGGGTGCCATCGCAGTTTCTGATTCCCTTCCCTTTTAGTTAAGGACACGTGACCGTGTTCAACCTGCCAAAACGAGTTGAAAAAAAAGGCGAGAGACGCACTGAATCGCCGTTCAGGAAACACGCAATTTCGTTCCTACGTGTTAGTAATACTTATAATTATCCAGGCTTGCCGCGAAGCATCCGACTCGGACTATCATAAGAAGGTCGAAAAGAAAGTTCCGCCATCACCTTCCCATGTCATCTTGGAAAAACGTGGTCTCTCACGGCCTCCCATTGTGCTTGCTTGCCTCCCGCGTCCTGCCGCCCCCGCCCCCTCCCCCTCCGCCCCCTCGCGATGTCCGACTACGCCTTCTCCGTCTTCACCCTGGACGACCTGAACAACCTCAACGGGCTCGATGACCCGGTGGGTACCTCCATTTGGTGCCTACCATTTATTCATCCAATGTGGGCGCAATTCAAGGGAACGTACACCTACGGCGCCCAGCTCCCACTGATCACCCGCAGCTGCTTCAAGTCCATCAAAGGCGGCACCGGCGCCGTCTGGCCCCGCCATCTGTACGCCCCCTTTGACTTGCGATCGCGCCATCTGGCTAATCAGGAGGTACAGCGAGGCTGCGCTAATGCAGGCGCTCTTCGACTACGCGCTGACCGCGGGCGCGCGTCCGCTCGGCCGTAAGAAGCACGTGAACCGCAACCGGTACATCTCGGACTTTATTTTGAAGACGACGAGGCAGTACCGCACGCCGACCCAAGTTGCGAGCCGGCTGCAGCACATGCAGACGAGTACGACGGATAATCGGGGTGCGTTCGCCTCCCGAAGGAAATTTGTAGGCTATGCGCTGGCTGATTTTTATTATTATCACAGTTAAGAACCTGATCACGAACTGCGATGTCCCCGATGCGGCTCCGGAGCCATCGGCGCTGCGTCCCCTCGAAACGGACATGAACACGCCCGATGACAGCGACGACTCCGCCCCCAGCAGCCCCGTCCAGTCCCTCGCCCCCATTAGTTCTCCCGCCGCCCCCATTAATAATATTCCCCACATCGCCGCGCACCCCTCTCCCCTTTCCTTCCCCGCCCCCGAGTTCATCCCGCAGCTAAGATCCTACCCTCCGCCCTCCCCCCCACCCCCGCCCCCCACCCGTCGCCCCCGTACTCCGCCCGGCCCGCGCCCAAAATTCTACCGCCCCCGCTTCAGCCCGCCCTTCAGCCCGCCCGCGCACGCCCCGCCCCCCCACGCGCCGCTCCCCGCCCCCTCGCGCGCCGCGCGCGCCTTCCTCGCCCCCGCGTCCACTGCCTTCCCTGCCGCCCCCGACCCGGGTTCGGAATACCCCGCAGCGCACACGGACACGGACCCGGGCTTCCAGGTGCGCGTCCTCCCCTCCCCCTAGATCTGCACTCCATACCCATTACGCTAGGAGAGCGCACTGCGCACGACGCAGAACGACCCTGCGCCCGCCCTCCCGCGGCGCGCAACACTCAAACGCGTGCGTCGCGTCGTGTCCCCTCCTGTTCCTCCGCTCATGCGCTTCTTCCTCTGCTCCCGCATCTCCGCCTGTGATTCCTTCTCGGGTATCGTATTTGCAGCGCAATCTCGCGGCGCTCCTGTGCGATCCGTGTTGAGGACATGCGCTTGAAACACGTGTAATTTTTAATAGCTGCTATGGAACAATGGAATCACCCACCTGCCGCTAACTAACTAATCGCGATGTCCAATACATGGCCTGCCTGGGGTCGGAACACCGGCTCGCTCTGGAAGGTGCGTGGATGCGAGGAAGTCCGGGTCGAGTCCGAGGGAGCGTGCTCCAAGGAATGATCCCGCGCCACCTGCGCGCGAAATCCCATAGTCAAGCCTACGCTGCGTAGAATCATGTTCAGACATGGTGGACGGAACACCGCTTCGCATTCCACGGCGTAAGTGATGCAGCGAGGCAGTCCGGGGTTCGACTCCCCGTGTCTCAATAGGCTCTGGGAACGTGTTTTTGTCGGAGCCGTATTAAGTGTACGCCAGCTGGCTCAAGGACAAAGTTATAGGACCGCTCCACCTGCGCGTGCAAATTGGTCCCATCGCATCAAGTCACAGTCAGACATGGTGTACGGAACACCGCTTCGCATTCTTATGGGCCAGCATGTGATGTAGCGAAGCAGTCCGGGGTTCGTATAGGTGTCCTTATTGGACAATAATCATGGTTTCATTTTGGGGTTTCGGATTTTGGTTTTGGGTTGTGATCATTGTGATCACAACTCAAATTAAAAGGTGTACACAACACCTTTCCAAATCAACTATGGGGGACAGCAAAACATTTGATCCCAATGTCAAAGTGAAATCAGCGAAATCAAAAACGAAATCATTCAAAACAAAAACAAAATTATGATCACATGTTTCATTCATTTTCAGTTTCATTTCTGTGATCTTGTTTTGGATTCACTCAATTCATTTTGCTCTGACCCTTTTTCAGTTTCGTTTTTGTGGTCTTGTTTTTGTATATTAACATTTCGGTTTGCATTTGCCTAACATTGATTTCATGGCGGCTTCACAAAGATTTGGGACTCGAGTTAATTTTATCTCAGGAGTGATCATAATCGCCAAACAGCAGCACAGCTCTGGCTGCACCCCCTAATTCTACAATCTGTCTGTACCGTCATGGCCGATGATGAGCCAGTCCTCATTCCTCTCCGCCTCGAGACCATCCGCATTGCCTTCATGCAACTCGGGGACCGTGTTAACACAGCTCTACAGATGCAGATCGGAGATCGACTCCGTCTTCAGGAGCAGAATAGTGGTGTGTTGCGCACGCTCGAAGCTATCCAACAGGTGCCCGTATTTCCTTTTCTCCTGGTTCTTGCAATATTGCTCAAGTCCCGTTGTAGCATTCCGATGTCATTCCTATCGCGGAGCATCAAGTGATGGAGGACAGCATCAATTCCATGATTCAGGCGCTTTCCACGGCCACCGTCCAATCTCAAGACCTCCCCTCAACCCGGGGGATATTGGTTGCCTACCAGGAGGCAACAGGCCAACGTGGTCATCCCTACATCGAAGTCAACTACGACTTCCTGTCCTTTGGTCTGGAGCTTCACGGTCCCACTGGACTCGGTCCAGTTGCCGGGGTTTTGTCTCGCACCATCCGCCGCAGGGCTCTTGTTGGTTTTATCTCGTGAACCTAGTGAGATATCACTCTTGGCCGTGAGGCCTTAGGTTATAAGCTCATGAGGAGCTCTACTGTAGGTACTGTATTTATACTAAAACCCAATTATTCCTGCATGTTCCGGGAAGTTCCATCGAGTTCCATATCAGTCAGCATTTAGTCAGCATCCTCGGGCTGGCCTCGGACTTGTGCTGGATTGCTAATCTCCAACAGCTCTCGATTACGGTCTGGTGGAGCCTTCAGCACCGGTATATACCGAGACCGCTGATGATGCCACTGGTGAGGTGGTCCGCACCTACACCTCGTCGACCTCGGGACCTGTTTCCACCATCTCCGATGGCGAGCTGGACCAGCTCATGCATCACATTCTCGAAATATTTCCCGCCTTTGGGCGGCGTATGATTGCAGGCCACCTTCGTCACCTTGGGCATCCCATTCTGACATCCTGCATCCGCGACTCGTACGACAGGATCCACGGTCCACCTGTGTCGTACTCCAACACCGCGGCGGGCCGTCAGCCGTACCGTGTTGCAGGCCCCAACTTGCTTGCTCACCACGATGGCCAGCACAGTGAGTTTCCTTCGCGCATGTCGCTTTGAATATTGACAATCCATTTATCATAGGCTTGCGCAGATGTGGAATTATCATCCACGCCTTCATCGACGGCTATTCACGCTATGTCACCGGCATTCGGGGTAATGACAACAATCGCGCCGCCACCATCTTGGCCCTGTGTTTGGAGGAAGTCCTTCAGCACGGGACCCCCGCCGCGTTCTCGGTGACCATGGCACCGAAAACGTCAGAGTCGCAGAGTGGATGGAGGCGGCATATGGCCCTGAGCACGGCGCCTACATCTGGGGTCGGTGAGTCGTCTTTTCCCAATACCTTCCCCCTCCTGCCGACAATTGCCACCCAGGCAGATGTCTGTACCAAATTCCCAGATTGAGCGCTTGTGGGTACAGGCTAAATACTTGTTGTAGAAGTGTACACAATATACGCATCGAGCGCCTCTGGTGTGATGTCACCCGGGGCTTCGGACGTAAATAGAGCAACTTTTTCCACAGCCTCGAGTTGAGCTGTGATCTGAGGCCCGATCTTGACAGCCACATCCGGCTACTCCACCACCTCTTCCTTCCTGCCATCAACCAGGATGCGACCGAGTGGGCCCACGCGTGGAACATGCACAAGATTCGGTTTACAACCAATGCACTCGCAGCCCCCGCGACCTTTTCTTCTTGGAATGATTGAGAACGGGCTTCGCGGCTTCGAGGAGGTTCCCATTGGATGCGGCCGACGACGACGTCGAAGATCTGGACGCTTACGGTATTGATTGGGAGGAGCTGCACAATGCAGATATCATGGCCCATCATGCGGAGCATAATGCAGAACAGGAGCTTGATCCAGCCGCGGTTGAGAACCCGTTCTCCAACAAGGGGCCTCACCAGCTCTCGCACGTTCAAGTGGAAGAGCCCCTGTGTCCGCTTTCTCCTGAGATGTTGCTCTCCTCGATGCCCACCTTGCACTCAATCCACTGCCAGTCCCGCAGTATGAATAGCCGCCGTAGTGTTTGGATAGATGTG